TGTTACTATAAAAATCACCAAGATTTTTTAAAGGGGTAAAAATTGACATATTTAGAAAATAAATAAATGACATCATCTTTTTTTTTAGTTCAATTAATTCAATTTACTAGGTTAGTCATTTGTAAAAAAACAAATGATCAATAAATCAAATAAGATTAGTATAATTTTCATCTCCTTAGAATAAAATTGAAAAACAATACAATGAAATTAAAGAAAAAAAATTAAATTAAATAGATTTTGTTTAAAAAATTATTCACGATTTTAATATTTCTTCGTTCGGTTAAATTTAATTTACTTTATTATATATAAATATTTTTTCTAACTCAATTTAAAATTTAATAAAAATTTATCGTTTCTTCAACTTAGTACACATAAAAGAGAACTATGTAGAAACAAAATGAAAAATATAAATAAGAAGAATCTAAAAGAAAAATTTACAAAGAATGTGGCTAATAAATTTAAACGAAGACAAATTGAAAGAAAAAAAATAGCATAAAAAGAAAATAATGAAAAATAAAAAGGATAAAGCTTCACATTGAACCAATGAGGCCTTTTCATTTGTTTGGGAATCTAGGCCCAAAACTTCTCAGCCCTTTTAAAGCATAAAAAAAACATGAAAAAAGCTATTGCGCCTGATGAGATTCGAACTCAGCCCTTTCAGGCGGAACTTGAACTCCTTGACCATTCCGCTATCCTTCTCTTTAGTGTTGAGGGGGTTCATTTTAATTAATATACCCATAAAACCAGAATTTGACCTTACATATACAGTGTAATTTTTCCCCGAGGGGGGTCGGGTGACCCCCCTCGGTTCCACGTAGCTCCGCCCCTGGTTACAATATTGCAATTTCGCCTAGGGGTGGCAAAATGGATAATTTATATGGGTACCTATTCAAATTTACCCATTTTAAAGGTGTTGGGTACTCAACTTATTTAAAATAGGTAAACAATGAGGAAAAATCATATTACCCATTTAAAAGTGGGTATTTAAATGGGTAGAATGAGTAAAAGAGGCTCATTCGTAAAAGAAAGAAAAAAGGCATTAATATTTTTTTGGGGTGAAGGTGGTTGGGGTAGGGGTGTGAGGGAAGAAAAAAATCTGAAGTTTTTCTGAAAACAATTTTATTTTATTTTTTTTGTGAAAAGGGGTTGGAAGGGAAGGGGTGATAAAAAAAACTTTTATTTGCTATAGCTATCTGAAAAGATTAATATTACTACCATTATTTGCTAGTTAAAATGGAAAGATAGCAGTAGACCAGGGGTGTATTAACGTATGGCACAAATATATATATATATATATATATATATATAGTAATTAGTTATACAGCTAGAGGCACAAGACAAACCTTAGAATTAAACATGGCTTTATTGAGATCATCTACTTTCACATCGTCATCACTGTTCACACTTTCGAGGCTTGGTGTACTCACAGATCTCTGTTGGACAAACGTCTTTATTTCAGGGCAGTGATAAATCGTCAATCTCTCAAGAAATGGAAATTTAAGAGCATGCTCTGTCAGAAAGAAATGCCCCAACTTAGGCAGTGCTTGAAGCTTCAGCTCTTCCAACAGGGGAAATAAGGTCATGATTCCTTCTCCTTGTTGTTCCTCTTCTGTGATCACTTCTTCCATTGAATGGCAGTCTTTAATCTCTAGTCTCCGGAGATTCAGAAGACCTATAGCCACTGATTGAGACATCAAGTTTCTCAATTTACTGCAATTATCTACTTTTAATGCTACAAGTTTGCTGAAATAAGGAGTTGGAAGTTGGTAAGAGCATAGATCACTTATGCTTTGAGCCATCGAGATACGTAGCTTTTCCAAGTTGGGACAAAAAACCTGCAAACTTCCAAGTATAAACATAGGGCACTTTTGTTCATTTCACATAGTTTAAAGGCATTTTGACCCTTTTTTGAAAAATAAATACTAACAATATAGCTATAAAAATAAGTCTTAAAATCGTTCTTACTGTTTTTCTTCTTTTTCCATATCTATTTATTTTCGCACAAAAAACATGAAATAAGAAGAAGAATTTCAAATAATGACAAGCAAATAGATCTATAAGGAGATATTTAAAACTTAAATTAGCTGTTGAATAAAAGAAGTCAAAAAAAAAATTCATGTGCGAGAAGGATTAAATATAGTCGTATATGTGTTTTTTAAATAACAAATTTAAAGATCAATTTAAAATTAATTTTTCACTTGTTCGTTATACAAAAAAGGTATATCTAAGTCATTCGTATAATGGTGAAAAAATAGACCTTGTGCAAGTAAATAATCTTTAATTCTCAAACAACCCTTCAAATAAAAACTGAAAAAGTAAGTAGCAAACCTTTTCATGAAAAAGAGGATTTGAGTGAGTGATGGAGTTGTTGGTTGCAGGCTAGAAATTTTGGAACTCAGGTACTCTGTTGAAGGTCATTTTTCGCAACCGAGGGAACTCAATTCCCTCAACATTGTCACTGCAAAAGTGAGTGAGGCATTCCAGGCATTCAAGCTCTACCTCATATAAATTGGGGAACTTGATTACTTCATGTGTCCTCCCAGAGATGTTCCATAAAAATGTCAAGGCTGAGACATTTCACGTTCTGAAATTTATTCAGCTGCAACTCAGTCAACACATTAATTTATTCAGCTGCAACTCAGTCAACACATTATTAGAGCCCTTTCCGGTTGAATATACGAATTCGCTTTCCTTCAACAGGTGGCAGATCCAATCACCCAATGGGGTGGTCTCCGTGACCTCTAAAGCAATATTCTTGTCGTAATCATCCCTTCTTAAAGTTGCTTCACCCACTTTAAGAGCGTACCGTGTCAACTTGGAGGGAAGGACCAAGTTACTGTAGATCACATCCCTGGAACAGTAACTTAATGTCAGTGTAGTCAATCTCGATAAGGATTCCAGATCACTCAAGGTCGAGTAACTACATTCGCTTACCTCCATCATATGTAGTTCCTCCAATCGAACTAGTCCTGATAAGACCCCTGCTGAAATCCTATTAAGTGTCTATTCACAGTCCGCAACTCTAACATAACTAGATTGATCAAATTTCCTATCTCCACTGGCAGCTCCTCTAACCGAGAATCTCTAATGCTGAGAATTTCTAATGTGACAAGTTCCCCAATAATGGATATGTCATCCAACCTGAATTTACTCAGACACAGCATCCTCAGACTTGACAACTTCTGAATGGATTTTGGAAAAGGCGGAATGGGATCCAAATATCTGGCTATGGATGCTCGAACAAGCAGAATGGACCTATATCTGTCTCCCCTCAGGCTTAAGACATCAAGTTTACTCATTCCATTAAAAAAATCATCATGTAACTTGAATGTCTCAGAAAAACAGAGTTTCAACATTAGAAGCTTCAGGTTGGGGAAAATGATTGGGCTAGGAAGCTCATAAAAGTTATTTGCAACAATTGACATGTGAGTGTATTGCTCGTAAGAGTCTTTTCTTGGGAACTCTTTCGATTTCACATCGTGACTTACCATAAATATATGCTTGCCCTCAGATGCAATATATATAGCCACGTCACGCACCACATCATGCATTTTGACATAATTTTTGTCTGATCCTTGGGATAACAAGAAACAATCTTTGAATCTTTCTAACATACAAAACACCTTATTTCTTGCATGTTCTAAATTTATTCCTGGAAAGATGTGAAGCGCCATTCCATATCTAAGTAATTCTTCAGGACAAATATCACTATCTTCCTCGAACAAGGAACAAAGCAAAAAGAGGTGCTTGGCTTCATTACTTTGCAAGTAATCATAGCTTAGCTTCAGAGGTTTGTACAACTCTGTGGGCACTTCAGGGATACTTATTGTTACTGCACTGCGTAATTCATCAAGGGCACAGTCCCACGAACGCTTTTTTTTATGCTTTTTTAGTGCTCCTGCAACTGTAATAATTGCAAGCGGCAGCCCCTTGCATTCTTTGGTAACCTCTTTTGCTGTGTCATGAAGTGAAGAATCATCGACAAAATCACCGACTTTCTTCCTAAAAAGGATCCATGCTTCCTCTTCGGATAACGTTCCAACTTCCATGATCTTCCGAGCTCCCATTGCTTCACAAACAGACCGGAAACGCGTTGTGAATATCACTTTGCACCGATGGTTGTGGTTGTTTCCACTTGGAATTCCAAGTCTCTTTAGATCAAGAGGCTTCCAAACATCATCCAAGATTATAAGGATGCAGCTTTTCTGATCCATTAACCTTGTATGCAGCCGATCTCCACGACTAGACATATCACCCCCGTCTAATGTTAGCCCAACTCCTCTTGCGATCTCACCCTGAATTCTTTTAGGGTCTGGTTGTTGACTAACAATTACCATGACAACATCATTGAACAAACTTCCTTGTTTCGCCTTTTGTCTGATTTTCTCAGCCAGTGTTGTCTTACCAACACCACCCATACCACATATCCCAATCATAGTAACCCCGTCATCTCTCAAAGCTGCCATGACCTCTTCCTCTTGAAATTTTCTGGAGTCAAACTCCTCACCACTGTTACTAGGTATAACTGCAATTTCGACAGCAGGATAGGAGAAAACAGCATAAGCATTGCCTTCATTTCGAAGTTTAATCAACTCCAGTTCAATTTTCTTAGCTCTCCTGCTCAGCGAGTAACGTGACTTCACGTTTGGACACCAACCATATCTTTCAACCTCAATTCTACCTCGTTGCATTACAGCTGCCACATCTGAAGTAGTAGTATCAACACTAGTAAACCAAGCCTCAACATTGGGTGAAATGACTTGTAAGTTTCTCCGGTCAGCTTCCGCTCTTTGATGCACCCCAATTCTGATATCCTCCAGCTTCTTAGATTCATCTTCCATAGATTTGATGTTGCTCTTGTAGTAAAATAAATACCCAATCCCTCGCTCAACTGGCTGGATCAAGCAATCTGTTACCCTGTCCACAAAGATAGATAAGAATTCCATATCTGATTAATTGATGAGTAAGAAAAATAGGTTAAGAGTGAATGAATACAAGAGAGTAAAATGAAAGCTGATAATTGCAAGGCTTTGACCTAGTTACTACTATTAAATCTCCCTCACATGAACCTCTACTCTTTTGAAAGCGACTAAACAACAAACACATGATGTTTGCTTTTTAACACCAACTGCGAATTTACATGTTAAAAAATGGAGTACTCGAACTCGTGGTTTCTTCATAAAATTAATTATTTTCATTTTATGTATAGCTTTTATCGCCAATGATTTTGGTGGAATGGTAAGTACTCATTATTCTTTAGCCAGATGTTTCAAGTTCAAGTAGCATACTTTTGGAAGGAAATATTTTATCCCCAAAATGGAACGTGTGAATTCAAATACCGGACATTAGGTGTGAAATCCAAAGTAAAGGTGCAATATTAAATGAAAACATAACAAGAGCAATAATAGAGAATTTGGTATGTGACAATGCAAGCAGGAATAGTAGTAGTGGGGTTAAAATGGCTGCATTATTAAAGTGGAGTGTTTGATTAGATAACATTTCAAAAAAATCTGATTCCATTGGGCAGACAAAGATCATGTTGGTAAAAAGTAAAAGTAATGTTTGCTTTTGGAATTTTCTCTCCAATTGATTAAGTGAGTCATATTCTCTACCCCTGAACTGAATACAACTTTTGTTGTTTTTCAAATTCTTGGAAATTTTGGAGTGAGTATTATGGCCAAACGTAATTTCCGGAGTTAAACTCCGAAAAAAAGTGAAAAAATTTCATGGCCTAACAGCCCCTATTCTCACTTTTCTGTGCTTTCCTTCTTTGTTTTTTTACCCTTCCTCATTTGTTAATATTATTTTTATGGATAATAATAATATTATATCTCACCTCTGAGGTACACTGTACCCACGAATCCCAAATTTGAAGACAATGGGTACACCACCAATGGCTAATGCACGTTAGTTAAAGCATGTGGTCGAATGTCGATTTGTATGATATTTTTATTAAACATAAAAATAAAAATTAGGTAAGTTTGCTTTGTGGAGTGGTGGTTTTGAACTTCACTTTGCATCATGAGGTCACAAGTTTGAAACTTATAACCACCCTATTTTATTCAATATTTTCATAAATAAAAACGACAAAAGAACAAGAAAAGTAGTAAATGGGATTCAACCCCCACCCCCACCCCCCCGCACCTCAAAGGTGTGCAGCGTTTAAACTAGTGCAAGTATACACACACACATATATATACTAGTTTCTGGATACGTGGGTTGCACGTGTGTCCCATATAAAAAAAATTTGGATTTGTTAGAACGATTAAGATTCTTAAAAAAAACATGTTTAATAAGTAATAAAATGCAACAATTACAAATTAATCTTTAAAAGTTTGATAAAAAACACCAAATGAGTAGAGTATTTTAAGGATCCAACTGTAAATTTTGTACTTTGGTAAGTAGTTAACGAAGTTTCAATAAAATCACAAATAGCTAATTCGAGTCCATATAAAAATACAGACTTGCTATAATTAGAAATTCATAGAAAATTAAATTGAAGAATTCTAATAGAGATAAAATACAAAAATAAATAGAGAAGAAAAAAATACAATACACATCCTTCTTAAAATTTTAATCAAAATAATATAGATGGACAAAATAAATAAATGAATTCATAATCTTTTGAGTTCTTGTCAACACCTTGTCCCATAACCAATCAAAATTCAAGAAGCCGCTCATCAAGTCAAACCAAAACATGAATCAAATAGCAAAATAATGATATAAGGGTTTCACTATTTTAACTATAGAATGGAAAAAGTTAAACTTGAGTAGAGGTCTCTTGAAAAAAAAGGGAAAAAGGACAAATATATCCCCGAACCATCGTAAATGGTATGTGTATACCCTTCGTTATACTTTTAGGATGTTAGTGCCTTTACCATCCAAATTTTGGTGCATATATACCCTTTATACTAACGCTGGTACATGTGTCTTAATCCTATTAGTCAACCCGATATTTAATAAATTTCTACCCAAAATTATATGGGACACACGTGCAACCCACGTATCCAGAAACTAGTATATATGTGTGTGTGTGTGTGTGTGTGTGTGTGTGTGTGTGTGTGTGTGTGTACTTGCACTAGTTTAAACGTTACAAAACCTCTGAGGTGAGGAGGCGGGGTTTGAATCCCATTTACTACTTTTCTTGTTCTTTTGTCGTTTTATCTATGAAGCTTAAAATATTGAATAAAATAGGGTGGTTAGTGTAACATCCGGCAATTTGAAATAACTATGAAGAGGCTTAGAATTGGAAATAGTCATTTTTGGAAAGATTTAAAAATCTGGAAATTTGGCTATGGAAAAAGGTGAGTTTTTGGGCCAACTTTGAGCAGCCATAACTTCTAGCTCAGGATGAGTTAGGTGTAGTTCCAGTTATGGTTACAAAGCTCGTGGAATGGTCTTTCCAACGCCACCGAGTTTGCTCGATTCCGAGTTCGTATGAGTGAGTTAT